GAGAGCATGGCAGAAATGAAGGAACTTTAGATAGGGAAAAGGGGAGGGAGGGGAAGGGAGGGGGCACAGGGGTAGGAAAGATGGTGGAATGAGATGGACATCATTACCCTAAATACATATATGAAGACATGAATGGTGTGACTCTACTTTGTGTACAACTAGAGACATGCAAAATTCTGCTCTATATGTGTACTATGAATTGAAATGCATTCTGATATCACGTATAACAAATCAGAATAAATAAATAAATAAATAAATTTTTAAAAGAAGCCTTTTCACAGTGAATCCCTTTGATGTTTAAACCTATATAATAAATGTGCAGATCTTCCTCATAGTCTGCCAGCATTCTCCTACCAGGAGCTCTGGTGATCCGCTGAGTCCTGTTTCATCTGTTTCTGTTTATTTGTCTTTATTTCCCTTATTTCTTATATTTCTAATCCAAACCACTGCCCTACCCAGGGCAGGGCTCAACAGTCACACAGGCTCATAACAGGACTCTCCAGCTTGAGTTTTCCCAAGGTCAGGAGGCTTCCTCATGACCTATCATCTTCCCTCCCACCTTCCAGTCTTCCTTTCTTCCATCTCTGTTGTCCATAACAAATGCCAGGCTCCTGGCAGACCCTCAAAGAAAGGACCAGAGTTAGATATGGGTGTGACAAGAAAGGTTTTGAGAAAAACAGAAATGTACAGGAAAACATGAGGCTTTCCTTGCCCTCACCATTTCATTTCTAAGACACAAAAAAATTGACAAATATTCATCATAGGTCTATGATGAACTATGTAAGAATGAGGCCAAGTTGGTGTCGACACACTGTGGAGAGAGAGAGAGAGAGAGAGAGAGAGAGAGAGAGAGAGAGAGAGAGAAACTCATAGGACAAGTTTCTTAAGAATATGGGAGACAATGAGATTCCACAACTGTTCATAGAACCTGAAAAAAAATGTTGAAACCTATATTTGAGGTCGGCTGGAGGGATGCTGAAGATAACACAGGATTCTTGAGGAAGTCATACGTGAAAAGTGTCAAAAAAAAAAGGAAGAGTGGGGTGCTTAGAAAAGATTCCTAACAGCTTCTGACAATTCCGTCTTGAACACTGATGAATGAAACTGAGCAGAGTTAAGCAATCATCTATTTACAAGTTCACCATTGCCACCCACGCCCAGCTCCGTCCCAGAACAGAACAGGCTCAGTAAACATCAGGTGAAGCACATAGTGGCAGAACTGGATCTTACTCATGTAAATATCCTCAGCATGCACTACTGTCCCTAGACATTACAGAAACTCAAGGGTCAAAAGGATGAATTGGTCTCTAGAAAAGCACATAAAAACACCTTCTCTAAAACTGATAGTCTCTCATATTATCCCTTTAAATAGAACTCTATCAGGAAAAAATAAGCATAATTCATGTTAATATCAGATTCCTTCATTAAGGAAATTCTTAGAATACATTTGTATTGTAGTCAATTTTCTTACAATTATGGATAATATTGTACCATACGTTGTAGAATTCTGACTCAAAACCATGAATATGCCTTGCTTTTCAAGAATGAAACCAAAATATTCATTATATTGTAATTGCCTAAGAGAAGAAGCAATTAATTTCATTTATTAATGTTTAAAACATCCTGGTAGATGTTAAAACAACTAAGACTTCTCATCAATTCTCCAGAAATGTATTCTTATAACTGTGAAAAGGCCTATGAAACCAATTACGTCTACCTTGACTCTGTCTGCACGGTTGTTGAAAAGCCCAATCCGCCTAATGGTGCTGAGGATGGGATCTGTGGAGTCATCAATCATGTTGTGCGTGGTCACAGGAGGCAAAGACTGTCGCTGAAGCAATAGAGGGAAGAAAATGTCAATTGTGCAAAGAATTAATAAGGGTGACTAATTTAACAATAGGTCACTGACATTTCAAGTAACCTTTATGGTTCTCAGACTTTGTAGATGACACTGATGAGCATGACTAAGTTTTGTGTGTGTTTCAGAGGAAGATAATGGGTTTGAGAACTTCCTTTCACAGATGGTAAGCACATGTAACTTTTGTTTTCCAACTGAAGCCACCACGTGAAAGATCTAAACTTTGTGACTGCTTTGGAGACTTGTTTGGAATATAAGGGTGTCCTGGAATTTTCCAGAACTGCCCTCTTGCACCTGGTACCTTCCTGTTAGGACAAGAGTTCCAGTGCATGCCTAACACGATTTATCCTTTTTGCAATAATTCCATTCTACTAAAAAACATTCACATTTTTTTTCAACCATAAACACAAATTCTATGCTTTTGGAAAAATTTAGAAGGCTTTTTTTTTTTTTGGTGTTGTTAGTATATAGTTTTTAAACTGGATAAATTAATTACAAATCAATTCTGTAAGTGGATACAAAAACAAGTTTCATGAGAGTTTTAAAAGAAATCCTTAAAATTACTCAAAAAAGGACATGACTCAGGTAACTATGTGAGAATGTCTTTTATAACCCTCTAGTCTAAAAATTTCTCAAATTAGTACATTCCAGCAAATTAAAATGTTGACTTAGATTGATTTTAACAGTTATGAGAAATGGTGGGCACTTTTTTCCTTTTTACCTGAGTTGAAAAGATGGCTCTTTTCATAATTGTTAAGTCATCACGATCCAAAATATCATTCATGTCAGGAATTTCTCCTCTGTTAGGAAAAACATGTTAATAATAAAAATAAAAACAGGAGCGAGGGTTGTGACTAAGCAGTGGAGTGCTCGCATAGCACATGCAAGGCCCTGGGTTGGATTCTCAGCACTACATAAAAATAAAAAATAAATGAAACAAAGGTATTGTGTCCAACTACAATTAAAAATTAAAAAAAAAAGTAAAGATAGTTGGCAATAATTAAGTGCTTTCTCAGTGTCAGACATATGCACATATATTTCTTATTTATTATTATGTTATCCATATTATTAAGTAAGGATGATAACATAGATTTAACATGTAAATAAATACAAATTAGATACATGAATATTCATCATGACCAATATATCTAAATATATATGTGTATACACACACGCACACACACACACACACACCTGCATTTTGACTTGAGCTCACCCTCTGTTTCAGATTGACATACTAACCTGTAAAGAGTTCCCATGGACATAGAATCTGCCAGCATAAGCAAATGTGTTCTCAAACATTCAACCTGTTTACTGGTGTTTGTCAAACAAAGCATAAAACTACTGTTCACATGACAACGTATCTTCAAAGGCTATTATATTAATTACCTTGTATTTAGAACAAAGTAAGTACATGGTAGTGTCTGGATGGTTAAATTTGAATAGTGAAGTCCTAAATGTTTGAAGTGTGTGTTTTTCGAACACCTACCTCAATAATGCATCATAGAGTTTCTTTCCAAACTTTTCCTTCATAGAATGCACAGTGTCCCTGTTCGAAATGGAAAGGTTTCTAATTCAGACAGCATTATAACTTTCAATCTTCATTTGTCATAACAATGCTATTGTTTCATCACTTGTAATTTTTGAAATTACAAGTCTCTTCTGCACAACTTCTTCTATTATTTTTTATTTGCCAATTTAGCTTGAGTGAAAAACCTCAAAGCTGAGGCAACAGAACACCTTGATCAACCCCGAGAGCTTCAACTTTTTTGCTTGATGGTGATGGGAGCTGGTTGAGAGCAGGGAGGGCAGGAGGTGAAGGTGTAAGAGACAGCAAGTGTGGGAACTGGTTGATGGTGCTGAATCTGGCTGAGCATGGAAGAAGTCTCTACACTAAATCTCTTTACTTTGGCATATGTTTAAAGGTTTTCACAATTGAAAGCAGAACACACATTTAACCCATCTTTAAATATTTCTACAGAAGACTGTTCCTTCCATGTTTGCTCATTCCAAAGATTTTCCAATAATACCTATGATGTCATCAGGATTACATAATCCAACAAAGCAGCCCAATAGAAGAGAATCGATTTGTGCTATAATAATCTTAAAAAAGCAACAACGTTCAAGGAAATATCTGATAGATCATGCACTTCAAAACAAACCCCTTTACATGTATTGCTTTGAGATTCACGAGACGTGAGATTACCATAGCTGTTTTCGCACTGCCTGTCCTTTCAGGGTTTCCACGTTGAAATTATTTGTCTTGGCAGGCATAATGAAAAACACCACTGCTGTGACGTTACTTTTATGCATCTGATGAGGGATTAGAAAACACAACAGAGTCAGCTGTCAAAGATTGCAAAAGCATGTGACAAATGGACCTTCAACTTTGATAAAATAGTGTTTTTACATGTATTTAGACAGAAAGATTTACTTATGATTCACAGAGAAATGACTTTTATCTTCCTAAGACTTTTTCAGCAATTTAATTTAAATCTGGCTTTCAGTCAAGACTTGTCAATGAACAGTTTGAAAACTTAGGAATAAAATATTTTCATGAAATCTATCACCTAAAATAGGTAACAACTGCTATCCATATCACTGTGCTTTTCTGTGGTTAAAAAATTAATCATAAATGTGAGCTAATATTTCAAGGCTAAAATTAATTCTTTAAAATTTGAGATTAGAAATTTAATGAAGACTGACTTCTAGTTTGTTCTTTTTAATCTTTTTTAGTTTATTCACATTGATTGGCACCAATAGATCATTTATGTTTTTCTGTCAAATGTCTTGATTGTCCTTATGCTGCATTTTGGTTTTCAGGCCTAAATCAAGGGAATACATACAGGCTTAGTACTTCTGTGCAGCAGGCCCTGTGATAGGGCACTTAAAACACATAATTTGACCCAGTGCTCATAATAACCACGTACAATAGATATCACTTTCCTCATTTTATCAATATCAAAAGGGAGCCATGAGAGGTTTAATATTTCTTCTGAGCTCCTTAGAGCAAAGCTGAGATTTAAACTGATGATTTTGAGTCTAAAAATCCATAATTCTTTTCCATGTCCCACAAGTGCTATTAGCCTAGCAGTTTGGGAAGTAAATGTATAAACTCCAACTGCAAACATATGCGTGTTTGACTATCTCCTGTGCGTGAGGCATTTGACCATTAAGTATGTGACCTCTGCACTCTGGGGCCTGACATTTTGTTCAGGAAATCTACAAAAACCACAGGATAAGAAAGAAACTCACCACAGAAGTAGTCAATGTGCAACCAAAGAATAAATGCACACTCTATGGAAAAAAGAATGCCTTCTTTTGACTTCTCCAAGTACTATAATTATGTTTGTTGACTAGCATAATAGCAATGGGGTTTTTTCTTCACATTTAAAAATAATATGACTCTCAATAATAATTATATTGATAGATTTATTAATAATGTTCCTAAACATGATATATGTTTGATATAGCTGTGAGTCCATTTATTAAGATTATTGAATGAACTCATATATGAAATAAGATTATACCAGAATCATCTGTTTGATCTTGGGTTCTATTTTGCAAATGGGATTTTTATTCATGTATTTCTTCCTTATTAATGTGGTTTCAGTGAATCTTTTAGAGGACTTGGTACAATATCTTCTCTAAGGCAAAGATGAATCTATGTCCCTGAAAAAAAATTAACTGGAGAAGAGTACAGAACTCAGGGAAATCGAGATTGGCTCAATATCTTAATAAGATCAAAATTTTACATAAGGTTCTTGGGGATATTTTCCTGTTACTTATTCTATATTTGTATGTAATAGGATTGTAATCTAAACAAATTATTTTAATCAGTTACTATGTCATGGTACCTTTTTAAAATAGTTATCTCTATGGTCCATATTTTATTGCTGAATTAGTTGAGAACCTCCTTTAAGGCCCATCTTCCTGAGGTGGGGAAATGCCATAATTCTGGGAAGAAGAGCCTACTTTTCCTTTTTCGTGTTTCCATGTGGAAGGACATCTCCTAGACTTGCAGTTTGAGACTCTTAAACTTGGAAAGGGAACATGGCTAGTGAGTTGGGGAGAAACAGTTGACATGTGTCTGTCCTGTTCTTCAGAGAGCTAGTGCTGTAGTACTTGGCAGGTAGCCACATGGCACATGCTACTCTGAAGGTCTGCTTGAGTTGGGGGAGGGTGGCCATGGTCAGAAACACCTGTGATTGAATGGCTAAATGCAATACCCAGGGTCAGTATTAGGACACCCATTGTCATATACTCCAGCCACATCTTCCACTGCAATTGAGATATGCCCAAGCCACATCTTCATTGGTTTAGAAAAAAAAAAAAAAGAGTGGTAATTTGTTATCTATCCACTCAATTTCTTTATATTTATCTTTCAACTTATTATAAGCTCCTGGGAGGAAAAAGAAATGTTATAACAACTTCTGATAATAGCACGTATGGTGTGAGGTTCTCTTTTAAAAACATACTGGACAATACAGATAAATATGCAGGTGAACAATTCAATAATTCTAATAGGTAAATTGAAAGGGCAGTGTCACTTTCAGGATAAGGTTACCTTTGTAAGTGTTCAATATCATACATCCTCTTGAAAGCTATTTAAGAAGCCAGAAAGTTCTTCACTCTTAAAGAAGAAAGTCATCTCCAGAAAAGCATTGTGTCCTGCCCTCAAGCTTTCTTACCCTTAGCAGGAAGTTCAGTCGGGATAAGGATTCTAGGAAGATGTCAGCTCCTTTATTTGAAAACTCATACCTCCCAGCAATGAAAAAGAATAAAGTCTTTTCAAGATCGAAGTCCAGATGACTAAAACAAAGCCAAACAGTTTCATATTAAATAAGGCAACAGCAACAAAATGTACACATGAATTCCATTGGAGAACAGAGGGACTGTGGTGGAGAAACATTTACCAAAATGATCCTGCTTTCTCTCTACTAAAGATATGAAAAATCACATGCTTTTTCTTTTCTTTTTTCTTTCTTTTTTTTCTTTAAGTAAAGAAAAGCATGGGCTAGAGATACAACTCAGTGGTAAAGAATTTGCCTAGTATAAGCAAATGACTAGGGCCAATTCCCCAGTGCCTAAATAAATAAATACACAAATAGCCCAGAAAAGCATACCCATAAAAATGACCTCTAACAAAATCTTGGATCCTGGCCTTATACATGGCATGGAGATTTTGAAACTCGTGCACTGCTGAAAACTTCTTAACATTCAAGCCATTTGGAGTAATTACATCTGGAAAAGCAGAACAAAAGTGAAGCCTTTGAGAGGTAGTAAGTAGCATTTTAGGGGAGAAAAGGTATTTTTAAATCTGTAAAATTAGACTAACATTTCCAGTTTGTAACCATAGAATTTAAAATGCATAAAACTTCAGAATGCAGTCTTTTGGTGGAGATAGGAAATCAGGAGTACTTGATCTAAAAAATAATGAGTGATTGGTACAATGAAATAAAATTTCTATTTCTTATTCCTGATTTGTTAGTTCTAATTTCTTTTTTCTTTTTTAAAGACTTTTTTGTTTATTTGTTCTAATTGGTTATACATGATAGTAGAACACAGTTTGACACATTGTGCTAATTTTCTTCTTTGTAATACAAATGATTCATTATGCCCCAAACATTTTGTTCTGGCAAGAAGACATTTTTGGTTTTCAATATATTGGTCATCAACAAGAGAGAGATTACTCAGAGCACATAGTAGAAACCACCTATTGAACTGATTACATGGGTTATCACATTTAGAAGCACTAAAAACAAAAACAAGGGGGAAAAAAAGAAGCTATATCAAAAAGTTTAATACCCAGCAATGGTAATTTTTGCAATGGAGATTTGAGCTAGAATTAGAAATATGTCATATTGTTTTGAATAATCTTTTATTAATAAAAGGCTCTTCTCTAGAAATGGTCCCAAGTTTTTCAATCATTACTTATGTGAAAAAAAAATTTTTGATTTTCATGAGTTTTTACTAAGTAATCTGGCATTTGCTACACAATTGTTCCTTAATAATCAAGATTGATTCTAGGATCCTCTTGGATAGCAAAATGTGTGGATGCTCAAGTCCCATATAAAATGGTGTAGGAAGAGATGGGTCTTGCCCATTAGGGGACATAAAGAGATGGCCCTTCCCATTCCTGGATCCCCAATGACAAGGTTTCAGAAAGAACTGGAGTAGGGAGCAATGGAATGAGACCTAGGAAAACCTCAGCGGTCATGAGATTATATTGAAGATGGAAGACAGAGGCTACTACTCTCACCTTCCGATGTCCCCATTTCAGAATCAGAACCTTAGGTTGTCCCATCCCCCAACAGACATCCACCTAGAGCCAGATTATCCCAGTCTGTGGTACCACTTAGCATGGCCCCTCCTGAGCTCACCTGGTGGCCTCTATATTCATGTACATCAGAAACTAAGAAGGGGTGGTACACCTGCTCATTGGAGTAGCTCAGGAGACCACCAGTAATTCATGTCTTCTCTCCATTTTCTGTGTACATGTCTCTCTGTTTCTGAAGATTTCCTAGCAATACTCATGTGGATAATGTCATGAATTAAATTTGTTACATGAATTTATTATTTAAAACAAATAACTTTATTCTTTTTTCATTGGGATTAGATTATAATTTGTTATGAAAAATACCTTCACTTCATTACTTTTTATTTTAAATGGACACATACTAATTAAACATATTTACAGGTTCCAAAAATAAAATAACATAGTGTAGAATTGCATAAAATCTATGACATCCTCCCTTAGACTTTAAATCATCTTTAGGTTACTATACTTCTTTAGCTTACAATACAGTGTAAATGCTATGTATATAATTGTTATTCCACATTCTTTAGAAAATAATGACAAAAATGCATAATTAATAGATACAATTTTTTCTAACATTTTTGATCCATGATTACTTAAATCCATGGATGCAAACCCTTTGATACTTAGGAGCAACTACTCCTGTATATAGTACTAATAAATATTTAAAGAAAATTGTACTTAACATGTTGTTTAGTAACACCATGGTAGTATTTCCACTGTATTTATATTATTATAAATTGTATTATATATAGAATATATATAAATATACACACATACCTAAGAGCATTTATTAAAATGTAGTAAAATAATTAGGACATGATGTTATTTGAATGTTGACATAGTTATTAAATTGTAATTTTAGATAAATAAATGTTTAGTAATGGCTATGTTTGGCAACCAGCTCACAAATATCCTGAAGTTTTAACAAATGGACTTTGGAAGTCAGAATGAATTGATTCTAGCACACCACTATCTACATAGCTTAAGAAATAAGATTTTAAGACTGTTTTTATGCTTCATTGATAAATTTGGAAATATATAGGTGCTCTTACATAATGACACAATTTAAATTGTGCTTTTTTTCTTTAGAATAAAAAATCTAATATCAACTTTAATATTATAAAAAAAATCATCTCCATATAAACAAAAGTCTCCAATTTGTGAGCCGCTCCCCTCTACATTTGGTATTTCTTTCAATTTCATTTTATTAATTAGTTTATGTAAGTATAATTAGTTATATTATCAATTCATTTACATTCACTGAAATATCAAAACTTCTAAGATATGATATGAAAACATATCCTTTCTCCTTCTCCCTAATTCTTTTCTCTCCCTGAAAGCAACACTGGGAATGAACATCTTGCTATTATTTCCAAGTAGAAGACAATGTTGATGTCTTCCACCTCTCTGAAGATACACAGGAAAAAATGACTAAATGGTGACATTTGAATTTCAGTTATAAGTATTACCACAAACTGAGAAATCAATAATCGCAAAACTAACAACTTGAAGTGTAAACACAATGTTGAAAATATCATCATATGATCTTTAAGGCACATGTGGTATTAAGTTATATATTTGTAATTAGTAAATTTATAAAATTGCCTTTTCTCCAATATTTTAAACAAAATATCATCTTTTCAACAGTAGACATTGAATCAAACTTATGGTAAAAACCATACAAGTGGGCATAGTAGCACCTACCTATAATCCCCAAAACCTGGGAGACTGAAGCAGGAGGATCACAAATTTGAGGCCAGCCTCACCAACTTAGCAAGACCCTGTCTCAAAATTTTAAAGAAAGGGCTGGGAATATGGCTTCAATCCCCAGTACCAAAAATAAAAATTCAAAACAACAACAATCATAATATAGTATTAAATGGGTCTTTTCGCCAATTAGTACACAGTGATTTAAAAAAATATATGATCTCATTTTAGCTGTTGATATAGCCAACACTTACCTATTGCCTATGTAGCTTGACCTTAGCATTGTACTTGAAGTTATACTATATATTTATATATATATATACATATATATATGTATACACACACACACACACACA